TTCCCGATGTATGGTAATACAGTTGTCCTATTATCTCGATATGTTATTAAGGTTAGACTGCCTCGTTGGCCGAGTGATAGCAAGATCGATTCCCGGGTCGAGCATTGTACGGCAGGGTTTTTAAAAAAAATCTCAGTAGTAGCGCGGAGTCTGGAATAATTATGCTCAGTATATGGCAATTGGCTGACTCCCTATTACACGGGACTCGTAACATAAATAGTGAAAAGTAATATGCACCTCTGCCTACCACTTCGGGAATACAAGGCGTGATGTTATGTTATGAAGGTTAGAATACTTCCCGGTAAACGTTAGGTAATTTATAAAGATTGAAAGTGAACTAAGATGATGTATGTTACATTATACGTGGTCTTTTTATCTTGAGGATATCGGCAGTAAATATGCAGTGAACGCATGTTTCAGAAGGCACCATATGTAGTTCTATAGTTAAGAATAAGCTTAACAATTTGGAGACATCAACTAGGTTATTATTAACAACATTACAAATAATTCAATTCAATGGACCTAATTTTATTAAATAATTATTTTTATAACATATCTTTGCATGCCAAGTGAAGGCAAAATATGGAGAAAACTTTGTTAACTCTTAGGTATATTATATACTACGTTTGCAAATGATTAAATGAATATGAATATTCTGTAAGAAACATGTCAATTTATTATCTCGATCGCGGTGCACCATGTCATTGATTGTGAGAATAATCTCGACTACCTAATGATGGTCGAAAATGCGATCAACTTTCTTCGAGAGTTCGAAGTGACATCTTACGGCACTCCTGTTCATATTCATTTATTTGCAAACCTTAAAGTAAATAAGGTGATACAATGGGCTTAAAGCTAAGTAAATCTATGGACCTCGTAAGTGCACAGGAGTATTTGATAAAATGAAGTTAACATTTTTTAAATAATGTTGCCTTTTTATCATCTGATACCTATTAATCAAAATGTAACATATTGAATATATACTAAACAATAAAACCTACCTAACAATACAGCCACCTAGCAGTAGCTAATTGCACTGGACATCAAACCTAACTTCTGTTAAAACAACAATTTTAAAATTGACCTCTCTACTATACCGGTTACCCATGTATTGTGTCCACAGAATTATTTAAACTATTAAACTGTCAAACACCAAGCGGTCACCGGTGACCGCAACCTATTGTTCTATAATTGTGTCTACAAAACCGGTACTCGACGAGTTAATAACCAATAGTTTCAGAACTAACTGTATTTTGTTCTCTCCGTAAAGTAAATTAAATTTAATTAACTGCTCACTCCCAGTGGCGACCCTCACCTAGTTGGAAACGACCCAAAAATAACAAAATTCAAGTTTGTCGTTTTCAATGTAGTTTCCTGGTCATTTACTGTTGTATTCAGTATGCAGTTGTTAAGAATATATTAAATTATTATCTTTTCCTGTATAAAGTTCAAGTAGTGTCAGTAACATTACCTTGTGACTTTCAATTATTTTGAAAATTTAACTGTAATCATTCTTGTTTTAGATTTTTGAGCTGATATATTTCTTAGACTATAACATTAACGTCGATCCCAAAGTCTGCATAATAATTATACGACCCGGTTCCGGCTTGAAACTAGTTGAACATTCTTAAACAGTTTACATGATGCATCTAAACTCTCAATATTTCTGTTATTGTATACCACTAACTGCGGTACTCAAAGACGCTAAGTGTGGGAGAGCCATGCTTCGGCACGAACGGGCCGACTCGACCGGAGTGATCACAGAAGACCTACGTGAAACAACGCTTGCGTTGTGTTTCGTCGTGTGAATGAGGTTACCGGAGGCCCAATTACACCCCCTCCCTTTCCCCAATCCTGAATCTCCAACAATCTTCAAATTTCTAACCTTAAAAGGCCGGTAACACACTTACGTAACGCCTCTTGTGTTCCAGGTGTCCATGGGTGACGCCGATTGCTTACCATCAGGTGATCCGTCTGCTCGTTTACCGGCTTATGTCATAAAAAAGACGATTACTTAAATTAAGTGGTTGGTTGAGTGGCCATTAGAACAAAACTCTGAATATGGCTGTAAATCAATTGAAATAAAACGGGGATATATATTAGGTACTCGAGCCTACATATTTTGAATCAGTAGTAGATACAATCAGTAGATACTATCTCTATATTTTTTTATCAAACATACAATAATAGTGTTGTTGTGGAATGTAGTTGACATTCCATTCTATCTCGCAGAGCATTAATCTGTAGGATCAACTGTGGATCACCTGCTCCCAATATTTCGACGATACAGGCCAAATTGATAAGATACGGTGTGACGTCATATAAGTTTGTGTTATTGCGCTCGTCTCTTAAACTGTCAAACACCAAGCGGTCACCGGTGACCGCAATCTATTGTTCTATAATTGTGTCTATAATGATGGTACTCGACGAGTTAATTATGGGGCTTGAGGTGTGACGTTAATAATGATATAATGAACTAATTGTTTAGCTAATTAAGATAAAGATTTAAACTAAGAAATTGTTCTTATTTCTATGAAATTGCTTGTTATTATAGTGGGTTTTAATAATTATGAAGGTATTTATGGTATGCCATTATACATATAGTTCTATGAAAATGTTGGGCATCGTGTTTGGTGTTCGGTATTTGATCGTCCAATCGTCCGCTATAAAAATTGAACTGGTAAAAATTAACTGATTCACTTTGTAGTCTTCTGTGTCCGTATTAGAGGAACAAGAAGGCATTTCATGATGAGTTTATGAACTCGAATCGAGGTCAATCACGAAACAGGTAAACATGAATTGCAGCTGTTAGACCAAAACAGGATAAATGGTCGCAACCAGACTAAAGACATTAGAAATAAACACAAATTACTGACTGAAGAGCAGCATAAAGAACGTGAGTCAAGCTGAGAATCTTACCTATTTCTGTCCTCCGAGGAGGAAATCCTGCATTAAATAATTGGTCTATCCGTCTGTACGGCCTCAGGTCTGCGCGTACGCCCGGTAGTTAATGGTCTTACAATTATGTGCTTTAAAATTATGAGCACAGGTGTTGATTTGGTATAATCGTGTGTCATTTGTTATCTAGTTTAGGTATTTAGGCAAGTGTCTAGTGTCTTCTTTGATGAGTAGTTGTTATGCGTATGTGGCCTACAACGTAAAACTAATTACACAGTTCTTTAAGTTCTATAAGATTTCACATATACATTTAATACTTTAACTGTAAATTCCTTTTTTTTCAATCAAAATATTCGAAATTACCACCAAAAATACTGAATTGCACACTTTTGCTCATCAAATAAATCAATTATACTTTACTGTAATCTTTAAAGCTTAACTGTTTTACTGAATGATTATCTTTTAAATAAAAGTAAATCTAATAATTCTTCGAGTGCAACAAAATATATAAAAAACAAACCTAACCTAATATTGAACAATTAGTGTGCAAATCAGTATTTTTGGTTTTATGGTTTATTTTACCCGTGGCTTCGCTCGCGTCACAAAAGAATAAAAAGCCAATGTGACATATACCAATACACACAGCGCCATCTATACCAATACTTTTGTTTTCCCTCGGGAATATCAAATTTTTCCGGGATAAAAAGCTATTATTTAATCCGGACTTCTAACTATACATCTGCAAAAATTCAAAACAATCGGTTTAGTAGTTATGGCGTGAAAGCGGAACAAACAAACAAACAAACAAACTCACTTTCCGATTTGTAATATTAAGTAAGGAATTAAGGATATAGTAAGGAAAGGATAAGGATTTTTGATACTTGATATGGTTATTAGTGGAGAAATTTAATTTTGCTTCAATTTCTAAATAGTGGTGCAGTAAAAAAAATCCCATATATAACCTACCCTACAACATATTTCTTTTGTCTCACATCAGGATTTTCTCCTGTGTCATAAGTTCACATAAAAGATTTGACAATCTCTTCGGGAAATGACAGATATTTGTTGGGGTAAATATGAACAAGACTTGCGTCAAAGATAGCAGGCAACAAGTTTGCATCAGTACAACATTAATGTCTGCTATTAAACAGTAGGTAAATAGATATATATTAGATACACATGGTACGAATCTCAGCCACATGGCGCGATCCGACCACAATGTGTGCCACAAATAAACATAGGTACATACATGTACAAATGTACATACGTAGCTATAAATAGATTATTCATGTACCTAGTCAATGTTATTACATCTTTATTTTGTATCTAGCTTACTAAAGATATTAACCGAAAAATTACATTTATTTCAATTACGAAAGTCATTAAGTATAATTATTAGCACATATTATATAGTATACTAGCGACCCGCCCCGGCTTCGAACGGGTACAATATGCATGTATTATACATAAAAACCCTTCTTAAGAATCACTCTATCTTTTAAAAAAACCGCATCAAAATCCGTCGCGTAATTTTAAAGATCTAACCATGCATAGGGACAGACAGACAGCGGATAGCGACTTTGTTTTATACTATGTAGTGGTAGTGATATTAAAGAAGGGCCAAATTAAAAGTACCCTTAATCGACGAGCATGCATGAAAAGACTGATGACTGTTAATAAAGAAGAAGAGGTATGTAAGAATCGTAGCAATTGGCGTTCCATAGTCTCTGCCTACCCCCATGGGGGACAGGCGTGAAGTTACAAGTAGATATTTACTTCTTTCTATTCCGTTCTTCTTTTTCTTTAGCCTTTTTCTACCCTTAGGGTGTAGGCCTCATTCAGTTTCTGCCATCCGTTTCTAGTTGACGTGTGTTAACTTAAAATGAACAAACAGATGTCTACTTACTTATTTGTAACTAGAAAACATACAATATACGAACTACGAACTCGTTCTTATATTTGTTCTTTATGAAATGCATTTTAGTTTTAAATGACCACCTATCACAAAAGATTGTTCAAACTGATATTGTTATTAATTACGACAATTTCCACTGAGATTTAATTGAATCTTTTGAAAAACTTAACTTTCTGTTTGTTTACAGGTCTCAGTATGGGTTCTGACGGTATACCTCGTGTTCCACGTGCCCCTCATAGAGATGAGGGTTGATGACTTCGAACAGCAGGCACTGGCTCAGGCCAGAGAGGTATGTACTTAGCCTGCAACTTAAGAAAATATAAACATCAACGCTAGTGGCCAAACCTCTTTATTTTTGGCTAGACTTGGCGGGAGCACTACTGTGCCTGTCGTAGGTATTTGCAAATTAAATTATCGAATTTTCGTTAAAGAACTTCTTTTGATAATAACTATCGTGAGACATACTAAATTAAATAAAAGTCGCGGGTTACTCACGTGAATATACTGAGAAAAGCTCTACTAGTTTCGAACCACATGGGGGTTCTTCCTCATGAGCAGCTACCTCATAGCATGAGTAAGCTGCGCGACATCGCCGCGTCCGCGCACGCTGCTCTCGAGGATGATTTGATGATGACTTTTTTGATGGTAGGAATCAGTAGTATATTACAATCTTTATTTCTATAAGTCATCGTACACTAAAAAGTAATTGAAATTAAAAATTTAAAGTTCTCTATTCACATATTGTAAATGAGCCTCATGAATTTACCGGTATACGTTTACTCAACAAAAAAATCATAATATTTACACACATATGCAAATTAACTGGTTATGCTAATAGGCACAGATAGTTTATCGCATTCGTTAACACATCCACTTTATATTTCAATATTAACTACGTTTATAACTACCAGTTTCACCCACTTAAGTATACCTACATAGGTCTTTATGAACGAATAGAAGTCTGAATTACTAACCACCTTTATGATTTGTCATATCATATCTATCATTTACCTACCGATGCTTTGGACAACCGCAGGGGTTATTGGGGTTCCGGCTCGAATAAGAGACTGATACTTCTTTTCGCCTCACCCAGGGCCCGAGGAGAGAGATTTCATTTCCGCCATTTATCAAAGTACAATTGTTACAGTTTACTCCAATGTAATCTGACCATCCTTCTTTACAGCAACCACCAGTGTCAACGGAAAAGCCGGAGCCAATCAACCAGCACCTGAAGCTAGGCAAGTGCTTCCACATGCCTCGCTCCAAGTGCCCAGCAGAACCGAACTGCACCAAGGTCGGCTCCATGTCAGTGTTCTGTTGTGACCTGGACAGCGCCCGGCTGAAGGAGGCACTGGCTTCTTCTAGTAAGTTCAATTTACCTAGGGTTTTGTGGAATAGGGGGCAAACGAACAGATGGATTACCTGATGATAAGCAATAAGCGCCACCTGTGGTCACTTGCAACACCGGAGACCGTTTATTACACAGTTTTGCACGCAATATTCAGTCTGTCATGTATGGCCAATAAAACACATGAGGTATTTTTATATTGAAACTTTCGGGAGACATAAGTACTAAATTAATTATTATGTTTTCGGATTACTCACGTAATTGTTTGAAGAGGAACTCGACTAGTTTCAAGCCACGCTAGAGGCTCATATTCATGAGCAGTATTCCGCGATTCGCGACAGTCACATGAGCTATTCTCAAAGATCAGTTTATCAATTGATGAAAATCGCACAAAAATTGGTTCTACAGTTTTTGAGTTTACGGTAAACAGACAGATGTGAAGCGGGACAATAAAAATGAATAACTAATGCACTGTACTAATGACCATTTAATTGACACTATGAGTAATTCAATTACATAGCCAGTTACCTGCAAGTATTTACCTAGTACATACCAGTGTGTACATGTGTGCATTTTATTTGTCCATTAGCTTAAGTAGTAAACAGAGAAGTATTTCCAGTTTACTATGCATTTCTTATGAGTTTGATGCGATTCACAAGTTGTGTTTTTTTAAACGTTGCCCCACAAACATACAACTTCACATACACATGACGCCCAGACCCAGAACAATAATTTGTGGATCACACAAAGAATTGTTCCGTGCGGGAATCGAACCGCGCCAACCGTGCAGTCGATTTTTGTACAGTTTTTATTTCTGTGTACCTAGGAAGTAATATTGAGTTTTAAAAATTTGAGACTGAAATTACGAAGTCAGGATTTCAACAAATATGTTATATAGTTATAAAGTTTCTTTATAATCTGTGCACCTCTGCTTACTCCTTCCTTTAACGCACACGTGAACATACCTATCTATTATTTAGCTATTATAAGCTACGTTTAAAAGATAACAAAGTAGGCACCTAATTGCTATAATCACGCCATCACTATCAGAATAGTTAAAAATAGAAGAATATGTAAATATCATGTTAATTACAAAGTTAATTGTATGCAGTTACTGCACAGTTTAACTGTCGAATGTGTTGTTTGTGATTAACGATTTAGTTATTAAAGTACCCTAGTTATTATTGCCATGTCATTTGCTTGCATAATGGCATAAGATTTTACATTTAAATGTGACAATTTAAATATAAATATAGATAATTTCACGCGCTAAGAAATTAACGAACAAACATTCATCACCATTCTGTAGACTCGGTTGCTAAAGAAGAAGAAAAAAACATTTATTTCATTGCACTTATGTATCAAAAGGCGCATGTTTTTGGTAAGAGAAGTAGGGAGTGTTGTATTCTTACTATAACCACCGTGGTAGTGGTCTCCCTCAGCGCCTGTAAGGGCTGTAAGCAGCACCTATTCTATTTTACCTATGTATGTATATGGGAACAATTCATACATAACAAATTGTCGCTCCAAAATAACGCCGACAGTTGACAGTAAAAATAAGACGTAAACAAAAACGATTTATAATGTAAAAACTATATTATGATATTAGCGTTTTCGGCAGCGTTCCGGTCAAACTATGTCTAAGTACCAGTTATTTTACAAGTTCTTTACCTCGAATTTAAGACATTATTACCTTAAAAAAACCTAAAACCTTAAAAAACACAGTTTACGGTTACAAACAAACCTACACAATATACTTAAACTTTACTAAGCTTACAAAACTTGTAAAAATAGCATATTAACCATATTCGGCTTAACAATGACACAAAGTTAATAACCGTATATTTGTTATTGTGTCTTTAATAAAACAAATATCTAAGTTTGTGTGTAACTACGTGGACTTGTATGTACTTGATGTATATGTGTCCGTGTCAAAGGCTATCGCACTCCTGATAAATGGTTACATTTGGTATCAATAAGTTCTGTAAGTTTTTTTTTAAAGATCTAGGTACATGCGATTCACAATACGTGTTCTACTGTATCTTAAATACCGACATACAAGAGGTTAATAAATATGAATACCAGGGATATTATTAATATTTTGCGATAATAACAATTAGGTAGGTAAGCTGTTCGTTACAGCGACTAATGGAACCTGGTCAAAATACATTGATCAAGACCAATGGCTTAACTATACGGTTCGAAGCCTGTGGCAAAGTCATCGGATGGGCCCCCGTTCCCAATAAAAAACAGAAAGTTCAGATGGCCACCTCTGAACGGGACACCTTCCAGCTGGAGGTCCGTGGCATGGACAACTTGCCAGTGGCAAGTTGTCCTGTAGTTACGCTACTGATTAAGACAATGTCCATTCATTCATGCGAATCTTTAATTGAAAGAAAGAGAAAGAGAAGAAAGAAAAAGCATTTATTTGGCACATGGCACACAAACAAAGATTATGAAAAATAAAAAATACAAGTACATACTTACACAAATACATAATATCAAAAGGAAACATAAAAGCATAAAGAAAATAATAAAAATCATCAAAATATAAGAAAATAATGTACATACAAACAAATTAAATACACAAAAAAAAACACCATAATATAAATAATATAATACTGCGTGTGCACATGTCAAAAGGGCCTCCACCTCAGCATATAGTTGAGCATTCCTGCCCAACGCTGATTTTCAGGTGGCACCCTGCAGTGACTCACGGACGGCGGTACCGCCCCTCAATAAGGAAAAGAAAATAGATTTAAATATGAGATTAAATAGATAAAATAAATTCTGCAGACTATGTGTGCATATGTGTATGCGTGCGTATGTGTGTGAAAAGTTGTGATTAGAAAAATGTATAGATCAAACAGTAAAAGTAAATACAAACAAAAATGTAAAGATGCACTTTCTATATTTAGTCTTTTTTCAATTAACTGAGGGTATTACATATTTTCTGGCTGCCAAACAAGCACTATTCCAGTGACAACCCTGCTGAGAATTGGAATAAATTAGAAATTGTTGAGGTTTATCGTTACACCACTGGCACTGTCTATTCCTTTTAGAAATGATATACGTGATGTTACGTTCTTACTTTCTATGCTTTCCTTAGGGATGGCACCTAGAAATATAATTCATACTGAGCGGTTTTTTCTTTTCAACTCCAGTTACTCAGAACACGACGTATCTTCACGTGCTGAACGCCACCATTGATGAGCTGGACGTCTCCCAGGCCATGTTCCGGAGACTGACTTCCATGGCCTTCACTGACGGAAACATCGACAAAATCGTTGGTAAGACACCTTCGACACTGGAGTTTATACTTTATGAATAATCACGTAGGTTTTAAATAGATTGTAGTTTGTTAAGCTAGTTGTTACCTTCTGTTTCTGATGTTTCCTTAGAATTGTCTGATTAAACTTTTGTCTATAAACAACAATCCTTCTTAACTTTCTATTTCATAATAATCCTACTAACTTGACCTAACTATTTTATTTTCTTCTCTAACGGTTCAGTCGCACGCAAGGAAAGTATGGACATGAACACTACCAGTGAGTATACCATAGTATACATTAATTGTCATTAACCACAAAAGCTTCAACTTCTTCTTTATAATTCTTCTTGTTATAACAGAAGAACAGGCGCTAACTAAAGATCACATAAATATGTATGTAGGCTATATGTGACCTATTTAATAGCTTCATGAAAGGTGCAGTAAGAAAAACAGTCCACCGTAGCTAAGGAAGTAAAGAAATATCAATTTAATGAAGTGAACACCAAACTTTGTATTCTGGAGAGGAGTTTATGCCTAAATAAATCCAGAACACTTTTCAGGAAGAAAGTGAAATTAGAATTATATCTAAGCGGCTGACCTCGGTTTGGCTACTTCATTATTCAATCACATGAAGAAATTCTAATTAATACGTACTTTGAACTATGTTTCCAGGACAATTTCCAAAACACTCCTCAGTAGCGTGTCTGAACATCTCGAACAACAACCTGACGAGTGCCAAGCTCCAGCCTGCCATCCAGAGGCCGTATGCCTATCTCTTCAACCTGAGTGTCCTGGACGCCTCAGCTAATAACCTTACTGAGTTCCCACTGAGCTTGGTGCACAGTAATCGAAAAATTTCTGTAGATTTATCAGGTAAGGGAAAAAATATTGTAAACACACCTTTACTTATAAGAAACACGACATTCTATTGCTATTCTTCAAGGTCGACAGATGACCTACGTAATTTAGGTCGTACGGAGCACTTGCTAAATGCTTCCGATGGGTTCATCTGGAAATTGCCGAAGATGCGTACCATTTTTCTAACCCCTTCTACCTATTGAAATTGGACATCCACCTTTACAGGTAACAGGTATCTCCCCTGCAAGAACTTCATGAAGGCGATGGAAGAAAACAACTCCTCGTTAGTGACGTTCCTCAAGTACCGGGACACGTACTGCGCCCTGGACATCAGCTTCAACTGGTTCAAAGATGTCAGAGTAGTGCAGATTGACCATTTGAGGATACAGAAAGAGGTAGTACGTATTCTAAATTAACTCTTCCTTTATTTCTTCTTGGATGATCCTACGACTGCGCTCCTTCTAAGGTACTCTACAAATTAATTATCTGTGTACATTAACTTGTCTGCCATCATTTGTCCTGTTCGTCCTAAACCTGCTTTGTCTCTCTGTAATCATTCATCTCTTTACTAACTCATTGTCTTTTGTTTTTATTTATTACTTCATTCTTTGTTTGTTTTGTTTGTTCTGCTTCTGTGTTTAGTATTATGTCAATCGATGTGTAATTTTGTTCAGTTTATGTTGAGCTTCATGCATAGGATGGTTTTTGTAAGGTGTTTCATAAAATTCGCTGCTAAAATAACGTTCAATGTCTAATTCTGCAGCAACGCATATTAAAAGAACAGTTAGGGATTCATTGGGCTGAAATGTACGTAAATGTAAAGTTAACATCTGATCATAACTTGTTATATGTTTGTATATAATTAAGTGTTTTATATTGGTGTCACAACTCACAAGGGTCGACACAAGTCGGTTCTAAAGCTCATCACCAAATTCTAACAGGAACATTTCGCGTCTTCCTCCAGGAACCTACCCAATTAATATGACATTTCTCAAATTTCCAGCTCAACGAAAGCTGTCGCAATATAAAGCCGGCGAATATCAACTGCACCTGCATTCCTGAGCGACTGGAGTTCTCTGGTGATGTGATCACCAACTTGGTGGCCGTGGACTGTTCCCAGCGTAACCTGACCTCGTTGCCGACTAACTTGCCACACAACACCGTCAAGCTGAACGTATCGTACAACAACGTGAGTACTGATTAGTATATTTTAATTGATCTGATTAATCTGATTAGTATAATCGAAAATCCGGATAATCGAATGTACTAAGAAAAGCGGGTTTTGTGCATACATATGTTGTACATACGATGTTATGTATCTTATTTATTAAAAACAACAAATACAGTACAAGTATATTTTTCGTTTTCTTCATCATTTTCCGATGTTTACTCCCGTCTTCACTGTCTAATTTGCAGGTGTACAACAAAATTGAATCAGTATTCTTCTTAATATCACTAATCGTGGATGTACCTACACCACACTGAGCAGCTAACTTAGGAACGGTTTCTCCTTTTTTTTAATAAATTAATAATATTTATTTTGTCTTTAAGCGACAACACCACTCTCACGTCAGAGATATTATGTAGACGTAATCGAAACGAGACGGCGTGCTGTGCTCATTGGTTGGTTCATTAGAGCCGGCCAATCACAGCGCCGAACGCGTACTCGTTACTATTACTTTAAACGAAAAAGAAACTCGTACTAAGGCCTCTGTTCGGAGGAACAACAACTAGCTAACTAACTAAAATAATAACGAATCGCGCAGGGCGCGTGCGGGGTAGTGCAGGTCCGAGACGTTCATGCTTGCATAAATTTGGCTTGTAGGTGATTTAAATATAATGAGTCGGTAGTCCGGATAATCGCGAATCCGTATAACTGAGAGCCGGATAATTGAGTTTCTACTGTAGTACTTTTTCTAAAACTCGCCCCTATTAAGCTCTATTGTCTTACTCTTTACTCAAGTGGTGAGTCGAAGCTGTAGAATCGGTGTTGATAGTTGGAGCTGATAAATTGTAGCGGGTGAGTTGGAGCTGATCTGATAGTACTAGTAAGTTGAAGTAAATCGACTGAAAAATTGGGGGATAAAAGGTTATACCTTTTAAGTTTGGGAAAGCTATGTTTTGGCACGACCGGAGTGATACCACGGCCGAGTGATGCCACAGAAATCTGACGTGAAACAACACTTGGGGGCCGTTCAAGTATTACGTAAGCACCAATTTCTCTGTTTTGCTTATTTCGGATGATATGGGGGGTAGGGGAGTCTAGATGATGATTACGTCATCGGTAGTTATTTACTTTTTTACACGAATGGCAACCCTCATATTGAAATTATGAATTAAAAGCAAAGACCGACAAGGAACGAGATATTATGGTATTTGGAGAATATTAAAATTACAATATAAAAAAGATTTAATTTAAAATGTTTATGTTAGCAAAGGGGGAGGGGGTAAGATCTTTGCTTACTTTTGCTGACAAGGGGGATGCGGGGGTAAATAATTGGAAAAAATCTGCTAACGTAATATTTGAAGTAAGGTTACTGAAGGCCCAAAATGACTTGCCCTAATCCCCGAATCCCCGACAATCCTTAAATTCTTAATCCCCAAAAGGTAACACTTCTGATGTTTCGGTTGGCCGATTGCATACCATCAGGTGATCCGTAACCGTATGCTCGTTTACCGGCTTATGTCATAAAAAACCTAGATGTAACCAATCGGCACTGATAAATTATGCAGCTGGAAAATTAGTACTGATCAATTCAACATACTTTGTATTAGGTCCTAGTTACATTTGTCTACACAATTGACTAATTGTTTGAACAATTCAAACTCAAACTCAAAAGCATTTATTTCAATTAAACCATAATTTGAAACGTCAACAAATATGAAATATATAATAGTCTGTCAGTCTGTCCGTCAGTGAAGCTAGGCGCTCGTTCCAAAATGTCGATTCGAGTGGAGAAGAACGAGCGAGAAACTCCATTCGTTACTCTTTTTAAAAAAAGTCTGTTTTACATTGCTCTGATACATATTCCAATATTGTACACACATGTGAGAATAATGTAAAGACATACCTGACGCAACATACAAATAACAGAACATACCTACTAAAATAAAACCAAGAGAAAACAAATATCTTAAAATAGTGTGAGTCTATGGAATCAGACCGATCATGTTGTATTGTATATGTTCCAGATCACCTCGCTGCAAACAGTGGCAGACGACTCCACGTACGAGCACCTTCGGCAGCTGATACTGGATCATAATGATATACCGTATATCCTCGAGTTGGAGGGCACCAAGTTTATTGACAACTTCATGTTGTTCTCTATCGCTTATAATAAGTTAAAAACTGTAAGTACCTATCCGTAATAAAAGTAGAATTTAATATCGTAGGAATCGACTATAGGGCTGCCTATTTAAAAGAGACCAGTCATCAGCAATCTCTGATAAACCTGAACCTATAATAAACCCAATCTCCAACCCGTTTGCCAGGTGTCTAGATTATGGGGATTGTAACGGGCTGTTGATGATGATGATCATGGCGTTTCTTGCCAAATGATAAAAGAAATTAATTAAATTCTCGACTGTATTCCAGATACATACATACGTGCTGTCGAATCGTTTCTACAAGACGGGGCTGGCGCTGCTGATAGCCGGCAACTACATAAACTGTGACTGTAACACTGAAAAAACATTAAAGGTGAGGAAAAAAGAACATACACTAAATAAAATAAACAGAATCACGTTAGTGCTGAAGTATTTGTAGAAACTAAATCACTTCTGCATTGACTGCCTTGTAAGTTGTTCTATGGTTCACTTAAAGCATGGAGTTTTTTTTATTTGAAATTTAAGACCCTTAGTTTATGGTCTGCCTCGTTGACCGAGTGGTCGTAAGTGCGACTGCTGGACTCGGGTTCAATTCCCGGGTCGGGCAAAATATTACTGGGTTTTAAAAAAATCGTATATAGGCTCTCCCCCTATTACATGGGACTCATAGCATAAACAGTGAAAAGTGGGAGTTACATTGTACACTTGTACAGTGGCATAATGTGCACCTCTGCCCACCGCTTCGAGGATAAAAGGCGTGATGTTATGTTTTATGGTCTAGAATCCTATAAAAGTCCTAGTATTATTCTTAAACTCATTGCAAAATATCTTTTCCAGCCGTGGCTACTAGAAAACTTTAAGAACATCCCTGACTACAAGTTATTGCTGTGTGACGACAAAGTTCCTGTGGTTGATTTGGTGGAGTCACAAGTCTGTCACACGCCTCGCGACTGGACTGACTACATATACTACATCATAGGCCTGGAAGTGCTTATCCTGGTGCTACTCATCAGTAAAGTATCATACGACTACTGGGTGTTCAAAACTGCTGGGTATCTACCCTGGCCAGCGAACAAAATGCCGAGATTGCCATGCGATTGGTTATGCGAGTAAGTTGCTGGTTGATTGGCAACCATCAGCTTTGGTTGGCTTTGGTTGGCTTTGGTTGATTGGCAACCAATAACGCCAAACCAATGCTTTTATGTGTTCGGGAAATCTTGGTAATTGTTTTAGAAAAGTGATTGGGTTTTATTACGAATGACTTATTACTAATCCTCCATAAATATAGGATTTAATTATGAAACTGGAGGGGTAATAATGGGTAAAGTGGAATTCCGAATCCCTTGGACCGCCGCATGAAGCTATGGTTATTTTAGTGTTGTGCCAGAGGAAATATGGACGATTTTTATATTGCTTGCTTAAAGCAAATTGTTGGGACATTTTTGGTTTATTATGCTTTGTATATGTGTTGTTGTCGTTGTAATGTAATGGGTTGCTAATGCTGCCGAAACCAGGAGGTTTCTAATATGTAAATGTTATTTGTTAAGTTTTAGCTTCTTATTTACTCTTGGTCTCTGTAAATATTATGAATTTTGAAATAAGTTACGATGGTTATTTTTTGTAGTATATTTTTATTAAAGTGCTGCTTGTGTAATTTGAATAATTATATACTTTAGATCTCTGTAGATCAGCTCTATGTATGATTCTATACATGCGATGTATTATGTAAATTTTGATTTTCTTTTTTGTATACTTAAATACCTTGCCAATTTTGTAAAGAATCTCTCTGTTGTCTCGATTCAAGTTTTCATAGCAATCAAGGTAATGGTTTGACTAAAATGTCGGGTTCAAACTTATGCACAATGTAGTAGATGTTCTTATGACTCACATCACACGGATTTCAATTTAATTTCCAAGATTAATTAACAAAGCATTACGTTCAAGAAAAGAGCGTATTCCTATTTAAAAGACCTCCCATTTCATAAAAAATGAGTTAATAACTCTGAGTTTAAACATAAGTAAATAGTGTAATAATGATTTGAGATATTTGTGTAAGTTTGTCCACTGACTTACCATATTATGGTAATAGGACCGTGTACTATACCATGCTATGGTGTGAACCACTCGATAACAAAAGAAGACTGACTTTAGTTCGAATATTTAACCTTGCCAAAACAAATGCAAGCCATTAGTTTGATTGTCTCATAAAATCCAATTACCAAACTCTTATTTCTTATTCTCGAAGAGTCGTTATTAAAATAAAAAAAATTAGGAAAAAGGATATCTATTCGTGCTACTTATTTCTTTAACATTAAACATATTTAATGTTATTAATGAACAAAAATGAATGTTATGTACCTACATACCTACTTACATTAAAATTTAATGTAGGTGCACCTCTACCTATACTATGTATGATTAAAATGCGTGATGTCTCTTGAATGACGTGATTTGTGTTGGAAATCATTAGTGCGAATAGGTTCCTGTTAATTTTGTTTTTATGTAAGCGTCCAGGTGTTAGATTTTAAGTAAATAATGGGGGCAAATGTAGGCACGTTTTTTAGGTTGAATACTTAATCTTTAAGCTACTGCATATTCCAACAAAATACTTATAACAAACTTCTATTTCAGTTTTGTGTAGTGTTATTGTGTTCTCGAAACACTTATATTTTTCTTTTAGCTAAAAATGTGCTTGTATTTGTTCTAACTAGCCAGTAGAGGCTTGAAAGTAAATATAAGGTCCAATTTACGCAAGAGAATTTTTACTATATATTTTGGGAAATAAGTGCCATATTCAATTGAGTTTCAGCCATATCTACCCATAGGTAGATATGGCTGAAACTCAATTTGTTAGCTTTCATTGTAGCATTTGTTTATAACCCTGAAGTCTTGTCGCGGAGAACCTAACGGGTAACCGGGGCTCCGGCTCGACGTGCAGGAGAAGGAACGGGGTGGTTTTTAGTCAGTAAGAGTCTGACACTCCCTCCCGCCTCACCCAGGTGGGAGCAGTCATTCGATGATATTCCCCCCTTAAAAAAAAACCCTGAAGTCTTGATAAATAGGTCGCTAGGTCGTAAATTTCTCAGATAGTTATAATTTCAACCTTTTTCTTTATCATAACAGTTTTTATTCTTAAATTGTTTGACCTTTTGTCTTTTTGTCCATACAAACAAATGCTACAATGAAGTTGAAAAATGTAATAGATATCTGTATAAATGAGAGATATTTTTGTATAATATTAACTACGAAGACTGTATATTTTGTATGAAAATTTTATAATATTATAGATGTTACATAAATTGTACAAATTGTTTTATTTTGTACTAGCGACCTGCTCCAGCTTCGCACGTGCAATATGCATTTATTATACATATTAACCTTCCTTAAAAATCACTCTATCTATTAAAAAAACCATAGCGTAGTTTTAAAGATCTAAGCATACATAGGGACAGAGAGACGGTGGATAGCGACTTTGTTGTATAGTATGTAGTGATGAAACGCCGACTTTCTATTGAATAAAATGAAATGGACTTCCTAATTTCACATTTGGGATATATAATACAATTTTCAGGACACGACCCAATGGATTGTAGGTATCATTGGTAGGTTTACGAGTAAGTGATTCCCTATCCTTACACCTACAATAAAACATTAATAAATTCAAACAAAATAATTGCTTAAATAATTAGTTTTACAAAAAGTTCAGAACAAACCAATGTGATGAATTTTGATGTAAGTCTCTTATTTCGTCGCGGAGAACCTAACGGGTAACCGGGGCTCCGGCTCGAAGCGCAGGAGAAGGAACGGGGTGGTTTTTAGTCAGTAAGAGTCTGACACTCCCTTCCGCCTCACCCAGGCGGGAGCAGTAATTCGATGATTTTCCCCCCTTAATAAAAAGTCTCTTATTCAACGTTCTTGGTTCCAAGTAGAAGTTTTGATTACTTCTTGTATTATGTCAATGGATTCACACCTTCTTTATTACATCTTAACTGATTAAAAACAAAACATCTTATTAAAATGAAACAAAAAATACTTATAACAATTTATTTATTTATTTAAGATTTAACATTTTTTTTATTATTTTTCTTATTAGCTAAATTATTCTTTTTTCTCTTCTTATTATTTTTATTGTCTGTGGTGTTGTCGTGTTTCTGTTTGTTCTGTTCTAAGTTCTGTGTTCTTCTATTTTTATTGTTTTTAGCATTTTTTATTGAGTCTACTGACTTTGCCTTATCTGCTTTCATTACTTCATCTGCGGCTTCTAGTCTACGTCTGAAAGAAAGAAAAAATTGTTTAGTATTGTATAAAGTGGTCCGGGTTGCAAGTATAGCTGCCAAATAAGCGGTCTCGGGTTTGATACTAGATTCGGGCAGTGATATAAGACCTTTTTAATTTTTTGAAAATATTTCAGTAATTGCATGGAGCCTGATTTAAGACCAATGTATGACAATAAGCTAGCCATTAAGTACATGGAATTAAAAACAAAACTGATAAAAATGATAACCATGGATAATTCGTTATCCCCGATGTAATTTAAACCTTAGGGCTGAAGACTATCAAAGTCATCTTTATGATAAAGAAACTATATAATATAAAACTAACTTGTCAGGTCGTTTCTCCAGGCGAGTAGAGATGTTGTCCCTGCGCGGTGCCTTCGTCAGCAACTTCTTGCGTTTGTTGGGGTCCTGGCGCAGCTGCAGCATGTACTCCGGGACCGCACAGCCTGACTGCTGCATTACTGACGCTATGCTGTACGGGATAGGGTTGTTATTGGATTAACATCCATTATTTAAGTTGTTTGTGGTGTAATGTAGTGAGATTTTATGTTTGAGAAAACGATTGTAGTAGTTATCGTAACTGCTATGGGGTGATATGTTTGATTTATTTAACTGGAGATATCTTTGGTACAGGAGTATTTAAGTGATTTCATAATAGTAAATAATAACATTTAATACTAGATAAATCTTTTATAATCACACAATGATAGCAGTAATTAGTAAGTAAGTCAATATTTACCTCCTAAGGTTGGCGACATCGTCCTGTGTGAAGAATGTGATGGCCCGTCCTCTCTGACCGGCACGACCTGCTCGACCGATCCTATCACAGATTGATATCATGAATAACTAGTTTCGTATTAACATTTTAACTCGTCGAGTACCGTCAATATAGACACAATTATAGAACAATAGGTTGCGGTCACCGGTGACCGCTTGGTGTTTGACAGTTTAATATAGTAATTACTGAATTATTATTAGATAGTTAACAAGCAGATGGATCACCCCACTTGGAACATAGAGGGGAATATTCCGTCTCCGGTAACTGGTGATCAAATAAGACCATTTTTACTTAGTACTAGACTTACCTATGAATATAAGCGATGGCAGAAGGTGGGAAGTCGTAGTTGATGACGAGGTTCACTCCCCGGAAGTCGATACCACGTCCCATCAGCTCTGTACAGATCAGCACCCAGATACGACCCACACGGAAACTGCGCACTACGTTGTCTCGCTGCGGAATATAATGGATTAATTAAGTATAGTTGGTAAGGTATTTATAGCATATAAGTTTTGGGTTAGATTCTCAGGTCAGTTAAAGGTTATATTAGTATGAGTGAATAAATCCTTGTATCTTTGTCCAGCAATGTCGTGGTGGCCCGGAGGTTTAAGACGCCCGCTTCTCATGCATGAGTGTGCGGGTTCGTAACCTACCAACGGCAAGTATAGTGTGAATTTCTAAGATTATCTAGACACCACTGACAAACGGTGAAGGAAAACATCGTGAGGAAACCTGGGCTTATAAATTTCAAATTATATATTTGAAATCGCCAACCCGCATTGAGCAAGTGTTTTTTTTTTAAGGGGGGAAAATCATCGAATGACTGCTCCCGCCTGGGTGAGGCGGGAGGGAGTGTCAGACTCTTACTGACTAAAAACCACCCCGTTCCTTCTCCTGCACGTCGAGCCGGAGCCCCGGTTACCCGTTAGGTTCTCCGCGACTCCGAATCGGCACCGGCCCTATTGGGCCCCATCTGTGGTGGTCTGATGGCTCTTTGAGGCGCGCGCGGGCATTGAGCAAGTGTGGTGATTAATGCTCAAACCTTCTCCGTATGAGAAGAGGCCTTTGATCAGCAGTTAGATCTTATTATGCGACTATACTAGGCATTTCAACATAGAACTTTCCCAACTAAGAAGAAGTCTTTTAGAATGTTATGAAAAAGTAATAGTACCTGTAACTGCGACCTGTCAGCATGTATAACATCGACGTTGATGCCGTCGTATATCAGCTCCTTGAACAACTGCTTCGCGCGATCCTTGCTCTGTACAAACACTGGAACATAGAAAACAGTACTTTAATAATTTTAAATCATGGATAAACTATGCATAATACTAAGAAGTAATATAATATAAGTAATATAATGTAATTCAAGATAAAATAACACTATATATGGAACTGTATGTAGTAATTTGTATTGTAACTTTCGGAGGACATACAAAATAAATTATTATGTTTTCGGCTTACTCACGTAATAATAAATAAAACCGCGAAATGCTGCTCATGAATATGAGCCTCTAGCATGGCTTGAAACTAGTCGAGTTCCTCGTAAGCCGAAAACATAATTATTTATCTATGTAGTAATTTTTAAGTTAATCTTATTTATTATGACAAGGCAGTTTTCTACCGAACCAGTGATATAATTATATTTCTTAACTTACCTAATACAGGAGGTTTCAATCCCTGTTGTACTAATTGTCTGAATGCCACCAGTTTCCCGCTCTCGTTGCCACAGAACAATAGCTCTTGGTCCACTAGGTTAGTTGCTGCATTCCTGTAAAGACAAAAAGTAGCTTTTACAATAACGATTTCTATTTAAACAACATGCTTTTTCTCTTAGAAGGGGTAGGTGCATATTACGGCATTTAATGCCACTGTACAATGTAACACCCACTTTTCACTATTTAGGTAGGTATGTTACGAGTCTCATGTCACAATTCCAAATTCTGTGAATACTGATAATTTTTTAAAAACTCAGTTATACTTTGCCCGATCCGGGAATTGAACCAGAGACCCTTTACCCGGCAGTTGCAATTGCGATCACTCGGCCAACGAGACAGTTTCTATTTAATAAATCCAAAATGTTCCACTGCTGACGTCTGCAGATCGCCAGTTTAATACTCATCAAGCAAGATCAGTTGTCTTTCACCATAGAACAGCAATCTGTTCTAGGACAATTCCTAGAAGTCATTTATTTGCAAATTATTCAAATCATTAGTGACGTTGTATGTATATCTGTCTTTTTAATGACTTCATCAACCACAAAAATTAAAGAAAAACCCAATAATATGGCCTTATACGACTTTTATCTTTAAAACCTAGATACCTTTCAAAGCATGATAAAATAATGTAGATCAGAGAAGTAAACAATACTGACCTATGTCCCACAGTAATATTAATAAGTCCCCGCAGATGTCGTCGCGTCCACTGAGCGAGGCGCGGCGTGTGCGTGGCGCTGTACATGGCCAGGCGGCGCTGCTTGCTGCCGCAGGCCGCCAGGATCTGTTCCATCTGCTGTCTGAAGTCCGACGACTGGTCCTCTGAACCTTCGAACAATTTGTCCGCCTCGTCTATTACAAGCCAGCGGATTCTGAAAATAATGTGTTGTGAAATTAATTATATTTGGGTCTTTAACAAATTGACTACAAAATAGCACTTTTACGAGTCAATATTCTAAACTTAGGTAGGTTTGAAAAAGGTAGAACTTAGAAGAAACTACAAACTTAGTACCGATTTTTCGATCATCAGGTAATTCTTAACGGTGGAATAAAATTGACCATTGATGGTTTTTAGTATGAAAAAATTGTCAAATAATCAAAGTTATTTTATCTGGCGTTATAAAAATCGGCCCTTAGAGAGTTTCAGTCAACTTTTTTAAAGTCTAGACCTAAGTAAAAAATTCGGAGAACTA